TGCTATCTTATACTATAAAATGGTGAGATAGTAAGCTATATAAAGTACATAGAGTGCACTTTGACTGTAATAAAAATTTCTATAAGTTCGTGGTTTTTTTTTATGCTAAGAGTTATTGGTCGACTATGACCTGTTCACGCAAGAAACGGCTGCTAACTTAAGTGACATCTTTGCTAAGTAACGAATCTCAGAAATTGACTATCAAGGCATCGATCTAAGCTGAAGTGGCATCATAAAACAGATGAAGTTACTAACGTTGAGAAAGCTGAAAGTATGCTAGCTCTATTGGTTAGGCAGGATATGATTAGCTCTGTCACGTCCGAATTAACATCCCTTGCGTCATGTCCTGGGGTACTGTTTATTGCTGTGTATCATCTGTGTGTAAGCCTTCTTGAGGCTGGCATATTCAGTGGGTGTTTGACCACCACTGAGCCAACCACTAGAGAAGCTAGCCGTGTGATTGACAACTTGGACAGATAGGGGACAAAAATATACGATAGCAATTTGAGCTCGAAAAGTAGCCTTCAAAAACTGGCGACGCACGAGGATTACGATGAGGCTTAACTAGGAAAGGCTTCCAAGCAGAACTAAATAGACATCTACGCATGATTCCACCGGCACAACGAGCTTGCGGCCTATACCAACCACCCCGGTGTTAGCTTTGAAGTATACAGAAGAACAACAAGTCAGCTACAATAAAAACAAGTCAGCTAGATCAAGTAACGTATTTCCTTTCCTAAAACAACTTGCCTGTGCATGACGATTTCATGCGCTTTAGTGATAAAACGAGACGTCTTCACTACGACTTGGCGTTTGGCCGCCATTGTTTTGATTACGGTAGGCCCTATGCGTGCAATAAATCATTCAGCTAAACGGTTTTCTTGCGTAAATAACAAGGCACGGCGGGAGGGGAATAACGTATGGCAGGACAGAGTGTAAGTGACAAAATCATCCCGCTTCACTATTCGCCTGCATCGTTATCGGCTTTCGTATATTTTTTGTCCTTGCCGTCGAATCAAAGCGCTTGTGCATATATGCTAACACTGTCGGCCAATCACCTCTCGGCAGTGCCTACTCCGGCAAGGAACGAAATTGAACCGAAAAGGTGTGGTGAACCATAGCAAATTTCCACGAACGATGCAGCTCGACTCAACATCTAAACTGCTACTGGGCGGAGCGTGCGTAGGTAACGGGTGTGATAATGGGGTCTTACTAGAAAAACGGACACACTTGTGGGAGCTGAAGACACGCCTGGAATGGGAAACACCGCTTATAATAGCCTAAACGGAATTAAACAGAAGGCAACGGCTGTTACAGGAGCTGAGTCGAAATTGGAACAAAAATAAACATCAGGCGGATATCTGTCACATTCAGACGCTTGAACAGTTTTGGACAGTCATCCTAGAGCACTTCAGCTTCGATTTGGGATGTTAGATTTCTAGCGAGCGACATGCTTAGTACATTTCCGAAACGAAACATTATAGAATTGCACCACATAGCGATTCGGAACAAGTTTTACATCAACGTGAGGCTTTGATGAGCTCAGGAGCGATCTGGAGAGCATTTCAGCTCCTGTTGCCTTTTAGCAAAGCAAAAGTGAAGGCAAAACCGAAATGTGAGGAAAAAGACTCGGCCTTTAGTTTTGTCAGTGACCCCACTGTCGCACAGGTCCTTTATTTTTGTTTTCACCATCTCTGGGTTAGGAAGATACGAAGCATCAAACGAAACGCCCAAACTCGACCCAAATCGTAGTGACGGGGAGCTACGTTATGGCCCTTCGGTGCCTGCGGTGGCAGCAGGCAGCCGCCGCTGTAAGAAGTAACTGCGTTCACGCCCGATCTGTGTCCTGTGAGGAAATCTTGTATTCGCGCGAAACCCATGAGCGCGCCAGTGCGTCCGCTGCTAGCTGCCTATTCCTTATACGACGCCCATTCTTCCTTTGCACGGTGTCTCTCTGGTTGTACGTCTTTGGTTCCCCGAGGAACCAAGCAGGCCCACGGTAGTACTTTACGCTTATATCTCACATTGTCTTTACTTAGTGCCATTCGAAGCGACTGGCTGGACAGCCATCCGTTCACGTCGATCGTCTCTTGCTCCCAGGCAGGACTGCCGATTAGACGCCAGCGGCAACGGCAGCAGCCTGCCAGTTTCCTGCTAGCCCCTCCTCTTTCCCTCTCGCTTTTTCTCCATGTGTCTTTCATGCTACACTACGTTTTGTTCAGCGTTGCTTTTGCTGGCCGCTACCGCGATTGCTTTTGCTGCTTTAGGTTCCTGTTAGCCCGGTGTTGTTAATACCAATAATATGTGCAATTGTAAATAACCAAGGAGTGACTGGCTACCTACGCCGGTCTGACTTGACGAGCCCCACGAGGGCCGTTCGTGCTAAGTGGCAGCGTAGGCAGTAGCAGCACTACTACCATCACTACCAGCCTTCGCTTGGTTCCTTATCTAACGAGGCCTTTGGCTGGGCCGCTGCGTTTCCCCCATGGCTCCGCTCCTTCCCTGTCAAGCCGCCCTGAAAGCCGACACATACGCTTACGAACACGAACTCACATAGGCAGCGAACCTTTATGGTCTGCCTGTCTGGCTGTTGTTCGCTCTTCCAGAAGCTGGCTCAGTCCCGCTTCCGGCCGTTCGCTGGCATTTCGTTCCCATTGCTATCTTATTTGGATCTGACTCCGCTCTAGATTTCCTTGCGTCAGAAATACAGCATGGCGACGGCAGCTGGCGGAAAGACCGCTTCCGAGTTGAAAGCTGGAGCTGGAAGAAAACCAGTGGAACGGCCGGTGGACACACCTGGCCACATATTAAGAGCAGCAGAATCGCTCAAAGCTGGACAAAGTAGGGTGCGAACGAAAGACAAGGGATTGGATGAAAAAATGTGAGAGAAAATTAGCGGACTAGGAAAGAATCCAACTAGGTTCAAGTTAGGAGGTACGCAGGAAGCTATCACCTAAGCAAGTAAGTAAACAGGTACAAAGGCGATGCCAGGAAGCCTATAATGCAGCAAGCTCGAACAGGATCAGCTACAGCAGCAGCGAGGTGCTCTAGGACGGCTGAGAAAACCGATAGGCTTGGGGAGAGATGACACTGCTAAATGCAAGGATACTCGCACGCACATGCCCACCCAGAGGTCAGCACGAGAAAAGACTATAAGCAAGCAAGCAGCAATAGGAGAACGTAAGCACGTAATGACAGGACTGCTAAGAACCAAAGACGGACCGACAAAGGATTGAAGGCTTTGCTGTCCTGCCTGCCTAACTAGTAACCACATATATAGTAGAAAGACATAGAGGTACAGTAGAACAGCTGGTAGCAGGACGACTAGAAATAATCTTCTCGTCTCTGACTTAACAAGGCTTCATTGGCTAATAATTACGGGGCATCCCGTTGCGTTGTAGACGAATGAGAATATAAGTCGCCCTGCTGCTCGCCGGCCGGTCGTCTAGGTGACAGTGAGGCAGGAAATGTCAATTGAAAGAGTGCAGGAGAGAGAAAAGTCGCGTTTGAATGCGGGACAGTGCACCACAGACATATACTGGGAAAGAAAGGATCTAATGTGAGCACACGCCATTTTAGCACGCGTACAGAGGTATATCTTTAGATATCCATAACGGACTTAAAAGCGATCAAATAATCAAATTCTATCGACCTATTACTTGTGATTTTCATAATGTATTTTCGTGCTCTTCGTTGATATTGTCTTCGCAAGTAACTGCGTACATTTTTTTCTGCTCATTATCGTCATATTTTTTCCAACTTTGTCTTACCTTTATTGTAAGTTGACTCGTAATTGAAAATTGACAGTTTATATGAAGCTATATATACATCTTTAGCAAATTGAATACGTTCGTTGATAAGGGCTTTGTCAACTTTGTTTGCAAAAGTGTCTCACTTATTTGCTACCCAGCCAATGAACTACTAAAAATAAGGGCAGCGGAATTAAAGTGACCACGAATAATCACGGCCGTCTCTCTTCTTTCATGCTCTATTGTAGCGTGTGTGTAAAACGTGTTCCGCTAAGAATCCGTAGCCGGACGGACGGTTTGCTTAACGATAGTAGCTGATTGTCTTCCTCAGTTGAACACATAGATCTACATACGCAGATCTACATGCGCTTGGATGTATATAGATAATTTCTTTAATTAAATTAGTCAGCACCCTGTTGGCTATTGCATATATGAATCGTCTGTAAAGCCTTTATGCTGCCAGACTGAGTCGTCGCTTTTATTGGCTCTTCAAACGAGTCGATGGCGATTTCGGCGGCGGCAGCAGTCTCTTAGATAACCACTGTAGAACACGTGACAAAAAGATTTAAATACTGTTATTAAAGGAATGGTCACAAATCGGAGACAAATACGTGTTAGCAAATCAGCCGACAGACATTTCGAGGACTTGAAGCTTTGGTAGGACCGGATTCTATTAGGCAAAGTTAGTTTCACCAATGTATGATGATGAGATCGATATGTCGTTCAGTCCATTGATCGATCGGTATGACCCCATGCAGATGGTTCAGAATAGGGCGATATATAAGACAGACAGGATTTGGCTCTGCTGGCTTCAGCTGGTACTGCGCGTTCCACATGCCAAGTCTAACATTCACCGCTCGAATTCGAGTAACGAGCATGCAAAATACTGTGCAGTATTTTTGTACTCTAAATAGTACTCTACCTGAGTACTACTTATAAACGCCTGGTGACTCGTCTGAACCAATGGGTTTACTATAGACATTTTTCAGCACAATTGGCAATAATAGGCCTAGAATATTTGGAAACAAAAAAAAACTACTATTTTAATGCTTTTTCAAGCATTATGCATACAAGCTCTGAACATGCTGAATTCGTCTGGAATTAAATTTTACAAGCACATTTAACAAATACTTATTGAAGCAATTACGTGGAAGATGGTCAAGAAGACTCTTCACTTTGATAACTTTTCGAGCTTATGATCGGTCCTTTTGGTACATAAATCTAACCTTACTTTGTTGTGTTTTGCCATAGGTAACGCTGGTGGTGCCATCTTTGGATGGCCACGTTACTACTGTGTTTTGTCGGACCCCTGAAACCCGTAATCACTTAAGCGGCGTCACCCGGCCACAGGCTGTTCGAGATGAGGCGCTTCCCTAGACTGCTCTTTTTCTGAATGCACGAGCTACACTTTGTACATTGTGGCAGACGATACCTAACTCGTGCCCCCTGAGCGGCAAAGGTTGTGGTTTGTGTATATACACATGTCGTAGAATGGCCCACGTAATACAGAGAACAGGTTTTGAGGGCTCTTATTATCTGTAAGTAGCTTTGTATCTGTTGACGCTTCTCTGAGGTACACTTTGATAGGTGGATTGGGCCCGTTGTAGACGAACCATTACGACTGGATAGCTTAGCTTCAGCTAGTCTGTATGTTTGACCGTTGTCTGACTCCTCGGCGGCAGAGCTTCAAGCTTTGCTCCCCACCACTGTGGTGGCCAGTGCGCTGCTGTCGTTGTTGCGTCGCCTTGTTGTCTGTGTTTCGAAATATCTCCGTACGATGTTTCCCTCTATTTTTGTTTCTCTTTCAAACCTTAGTTAATATGACAAAGAAAACGAATAGTAGTATCTCTCTTGTATAACTCGCTGTTGCCTTAAACATGACTAGCATAACAGTACCACCCGCAGACAGTCTATGATGCTTCACGCATTCATCTAGTACACGTCTGTGTGCTAGCTTTCATTGTGAGCGACAATATCAGGGCGGAGTGGTTTTGGTCTCAGGCTTTCTCTCATCCGCAAAAGGCGCTTCGAGTGAAATTTCAGCTTATCAGTGGGTTCACCTCGCTACGCTATTCTACTCAGTTTCGGCGTACCTAGTGACCCAGGCCTGCGCTAACGGACCTGTATGGCACCTACTTGCCTCTCATCCCACGCTAAGTGTGCTGTCAAGTAACTGAGCACCAGCTTGCTAGCCAGCCCTAGACCTGAAACTCGGTTGTTACCCATAAGCTCCGTGTGCGTGTCACTTAGTGATCAAATACAGGCATTTTAGGGTCGTGGACTCGTTCTGATCCAGTTTCCCTTACCCCCGTGCGCCCGAAGGGTATGCTCACAAGGCTCTTTCGGCAAGTACTTCAATATTCGAGCAGCTTCGTCATCAGTGGCATAGCTTCGCTAAGGTAGCGTAGATGCCAAACCGCTCTGGCTTCGTGAGTTCTAGCCAGCATCGGATGTTTGGCCGGTCCGTTGGCTCCACGTGGATCGCTGGGTCACTATCCGTCCGCAGTTCACGCCCCAGCTTCAGCGCTCGAAGACACATGTATGCGAAAAGGACACGCCGCCGCCGCACTGATTCATTACATATTACAAAACTTGTTTGTACCTCCATTAATGTTAATAAATAACTGGAGAACGAGGCAGCTGGGTCAGGGGAAGCAGCATTCGTGTTGCCGCTAGCAACTGCAACCGTTTGTGCTGCTATTGGCGATTATGTATGTAGAACCACTCAAAATAAGCGCCAAGCGTATGTAGCTAACGGCAGCGATAAAATCAGCTTTCCTGAACAGGACTACGAAGTCCTGCGTATTACGACGAAATGCCGAAAAGGCTTTCAGCAAGATTCTAGCAGCCGTCTATGGCCTCTTACTTGGCGTGTTGTTTCGAAAAACACAACAACGAGATGACGACGTCTGGAAAGCAGCAACGATAGATATAACAGCAACCACTATCGAATTCGCCTCTTTTGCCGTAGAGAAAGCCAACTCTAATGGCAAGATCGATGCCTGTTGTGTGAGGGCTCCGATATAAGGCCAGAGGAAGGAGGTCCGGACGATGGTGGCGTTGAGGCGAAAACTGTAGGACAAACCGCGCTTCAGACCGAGCCAAGGAACACCAGCGGAAAAAGGAAGGGTTAACGTTATTTGACATTGATTGCCGATGCGGCAATGCAAAAGCCCGATATATGGCTGGTTTATGCATGGCTGCACTAGTGTTACATCGAGTGTAATTCTTGGTTTGAAGATTATTTGAACTTTCAAAAAAGTCTAGTATAATAAATGTCAGACAAACGTTCATTATGTCTTCAATAAAACAAGCTGGCACTGGGCTTTCTCAGGGTGTGTCTCGACAGCGCGGCGCTCTAGATAATCCTGACCCACCTTCTACAAATATTCAATAGTATAGAAATGACGGTATATGAATGGAATTATAATACCTTTGTTACACTTGATAGACGTTCTCGACTTTACCATAAGATTTGTGAACAATAATAGAAACGTATTAAAAGACAATGTGCAACAAGAAGTGCCTTCAAAAGGCCAATATGTCCGTAGCTTGAAACAATGGTATTATCATTCTCTGCCCAAACACCCTTTAAACAAGTGGCCTTTGGAAACATGGTTTGTGTTATTGGCGGTATTTGCGTTGGGCATTTTCTGATCTCTACCAGTGTTGTATTTTCCATATACACGTACTGACATAATATTCATAATAACGGCTGTGACATACAGCAAGGCGGAGTTTATGATAATAACCACACCCAAGTTACGGCACAAAGCCACCTTAGGTAGTTCGCCACTTTGGTTCTGCAAAAATGGATCGGGAAATGGAGTGTCTGTGATTTAACAAAACGATAGTGAAGTTTTACAGGCGTCTCTTGACTCAGATATATGATTCAAGTTTGTTTTATCGAATCAACGAAGATATGAAATTATGGCAGATATTATAGATGGAACTAGCTGAATGTTAATCAAAAACTAGGCAGTACCTACGCTAATTTCTAATTCAGACGTGGACAGTCTATAGTACGAGCATACATACAATTGTAGGATCGGAATTCCTCTTGTTCGTTCATCGGAACATCAGTATAGCTGAGTATAACCGCGTAAGACCATTTCGTAAAAGTTATATACTAGGCGCATATGTCAACACACGCATACATTGGTAAGCGGTCGTCTGGTGGCCAATCCGACGTGATAATCTTCATATAACAACAACAATGCTGCGGATAGTCGACTCAGGTCTGTATGACGGCACATACCTAGCTCATGACCATTGTTGTACCCACTTTAGCTGCAGTGGTCCACAGCTATATAGGCCCATACTCACGTAATCACTAGCGGCTAGGTCCGACTACTTGCTTCGTCCGTTGGTCGATGTCCCGCTATCCTGTCAGAGCACGCCTACGGGAAACGGCGACGATACCTCAGTGTAATTAGTGTTTCGTGCCGGGCGCAGTAGAATTAGCTGCCTAAAGATCGCCGCAGAGAGCACTCTCTCGCACCCCTTGACCATAACCCATTTCAACCAGTCAGCGATACCAGTGGCCTCTGACACCAGCAGCAGCACCCCCATGTGCTTGGTGGCCGTTTACATATATATGTGTGTATAGGTATATGTGTCTGTACGTTCGCGTGTAACTCTACTATATATCGCTGTATAGCTTCATAAGGGTATTTCCCCTTCGTCTGCGTCTGCAAGGATTCGTCTACGTAACGTATCCTGCAGGCAGCCAGCGGGCGTCGCCTGGGCACCTGCATGGATCACCCAGCTAGCACGCACATCGCTCAGCCACTCACTACTGCTATCTGATATGGGGGATTAAACGGCACCCGTTAGTCTAGACGCTTAGTTGTAATAAGTGCCGCCGAGCGTGGTGAATTTGTTGAAAGGTGATCCAGAGGCGCGGCACAACGTGTGTGGGTTCCCCAACAATGATAACCCTACCCTTCCGCCGTCGTCGCTTCTCCCGTATTTCACGATCCTCGTCCAAAACCCCTTCATTCCAACCTTGCCGCTCTGCGCCCTCTACATTGGACACCAAACTGCATAAGTCTTGTGGCTTAAGCTATTGTCGGACTGTAACCGAGTAGAGATTTGTGGACGCTGATGATTCCCCCCATATGTACTGTAGTTATACGAGTGTCTATATCATTATACGGTACATAGTCTTTTTGGGAGGCCCCGACGCGCTAGAGCCCTCGTTGTACGATATCATACGGTGATTCGTCAGTGAGGTCAGTCGTCGCCGCCTGTGAAAACGGGCCGACACGGGGGTCAAACCTGCGGAACGAGACGTGCATTTGCTGGCTGCCTTTCTGCATCTCTTTTTGACTGGAAGGGAAATGAGATAGGGCTGCGGGAACAAAATCGGAGCTATCCGTACAAACGCGTTACTTCAGGCGCTTGCACATGCGGACAGGTCACTTTAGACGTACTATTTGTTTCTCGCCGAGCCCACTTGCATTGCAAATGATCCGCGAATCTAAAAGTTTCTTAAGGATATGGAGGGGCGATTGAATAATATAGGCTATTGTCCTCTGATAGAGATCAGTAAAGCAATTCATGAATCAACCTTACCACGACCTTCGACTTCTGTCTGAAAAACATTCATATATAAAGTATAGAAATATGACGCAAACCAATGGACTTGTGTTAAAACACGACATATCTTTCACTGTTTGACTATTTAGATGTATAAACAATCTTTATATTAGCAGACGATCGAGTAACAGCTCCTATTATTTTCTGCTACCCTAACTGCTGTTACCACAACCTATGTTGGTACACTGTCTAGACTGAATCAACAAGACAATACGGTGTCAACATTGAACGACGGTAATACGCGCTGAAAAAACCTTTTTTTTTTTTTATATTGTGAGTAATATGACCTTATCAACGATTGTACCGCGAAGTAAATTGCCGTCACATTTCAGAGCGTTCTGTGGAACGCCCATTGCTTTGCTAAATTGTCAGACTCGATGCCCTTGCTAGTGGCATTGCTATAGCGACATAAACCGTAATGAAATTTTCCATCTCTTTAGGAAGAAACAACGGCAGCCTACAACAATTTGAATTGGTTCGAAAGGGAGGGTAGGCAGACCGAAGACGTACAGTTTCGCATACGGTCGATATGCCACCTGTTGGTTATCACAAAAGGACGAACCTTATAGTGAGGGAGCCTTAACAGTTCCTACATACTCGTGTAATGCTTCTACTTCCCGAGCCCGCGGCATTGCATCGTGCGCAGCGAGACGTGGCGAACCAATCTGTCAGTGATGTAGTTGACTACCGCATCCGTCTCTGCAACCAGCTCTTACGACTGCGAGAAGAACCAAGGCACATACGCGTGTAGTAACAATGAGAAGATTTTCTTGTTCTTAGCTTAATTGTTTGACAAGGAACACATACAGTGACTTCGCGATAGAACGAGTAAACTTAAAGATAACCGATATTGCGTTACATTTCTCAATCAACTGAGGCTTTCAATGTTTCTGATTGACCTGGTATACTAAAGAGAGTACTCATCCGATCACTATAACCCTTAGATTATACCTAGCTCCCTGTTAATTATGACCTATCCCGACAAATTATTTGAATGGTCATGCTACGCAGTTACTTCCAACACTGTCGTTTAATAGCTTAGGAGAAAAACAGGTAGAGTTTTGTCGACAAATTACTTGCAGACGAACTTGAAAAACATCATTTTTCCAAGACAGGTAGGCCTGTTCGCAAGCAATTCTACACGAGCTAAAAAAGCTTTTTTTTTTTACTCGGGCTCAACGTAGATGCGGGTCCTGGTCCGCTATCGGCATCAAGCATTTGTATAATAGTTTCTATCTTTTATAAACGGTATCACAAAGTGGGCTCAGAGTCGTTTGAGCGATACTCTTTGGGAAGCGTACGTCGATTTGATTTCGCCCAATCGATACGGCGATACATATATTGCGAGTAAGCCGTGCAACCATGCACAACTTTGGTCACAAAATTTAGAGATCCGTTGTGGTAGATCCGAAACCAGGCGTGGATACATTTCGTTTCGTGACGAAAGTCAGCCGGCTGAAGTGGCACCTCACGACTCAACTACTGAACATCACACTTGCAACATTTAATTAGTGGAAGCAGGCAGTACCCATCTAGTTACAGACGCTGGAACTCCGTTTAGGTAACGATTACAACTTATCGACGAGGCAACTGAATAAATAGAAGAGTTATATCTATATCAGAATTCAGTAAGAGCTTTTTGACACAATTACTTGGGACGGACACAAACCAAAGCGTATTGCCTGTGTGCTAATTTACGAATTAGGTATAATTCAAGCGGTAGTATTCGCTTTCATGTCCTAAATATTATGTCACTTTTACAATTGATTTGGAATTTTCGTACAAGTTTAAAATGAAACACGCAGTTATGTGTAAGTTTTTTTTTCTTATAAAACTAATGGTTATTGTCAAAAATTGATGTCGGATACAGCCGCTTAGTTTTCCATAGTAGAAAATCTAGCTCTACGTACTAGAAAAAAAACTCACATGATAGGGCGGTCTAGATAAAAACGGGAAAGGACCCGCTGGAGGTCGTGTGATCACCAGATCTCTCCTTCGATAATTTCGCCTCGTTTCGTGCGCAATAATCTTTCCATACGAATTCTCGATGAGCATGTATGGCGTGAGTCAACACATACAAACCTAGCCCCTTTTAAACGAAGACGGTACAAAAAAATCTTAGAAGTAGGCTTACCGTGCCGTGCCTGATACCGTTGTAAACACTGAGCCTTGGAAGAGCAAACAAGGCCGAGGAGTCCAGCTCAGCGATTCAAGTTCATGATACAACGGCATCTCCTGTCGATCCTTGCCAACGGTATTTCGCGAAAACCTGCAGCCTGCTTGCAGCGCAAACAACTGATTAAGGCTGGTATATCAGGAACGCAAGACCCTAAATGCATTTAAAATATGAACCGCAATATTTCAGGGTATACTTTACACAGTACGTTTGACGAACGGGCTCTATTTACCGTTATCTATTGTATCAATACTACGGATTCATATACTAAGTTCCGTCTAATATTTTAGCGGAAAAATCAGGAATCGCTAGCCGGCATCATTAGAATTTGTGTATAATAAAGACACCTCAAATCAGTAATTCTAGGGAAATATGCAAAATTTTGTACCAGTATCGCATACAACTCATCATAAATGGTCATATTTATTAAACAGATGTCTCAGGCAAGACCGTTCTCTCAATGCATCTTTGATTGCCCCGAATCACGGTCGGAAACGCAAATTTCATGGATTTC